GTGCCCTGGCTGGGGAGTCGGGGAGAGCCCTAATCTCCATGCTGGCTTGGCCTCTCTGAGGTTTCACTTTCAGCGCCTGTGGCGGTTGTGGTCTGTAACTGGGTCAGAGAAGGTGTCCTCCGTAAGTAGGCTATCAGGTTCCCTGAGGGTCTCAGGGGAGCTCTCTGTAATAGTTCAGAATAGCCCAGGCTGGGGGAGAGAGAATTGGGTGTCTTTCTCACGCTCTGCTCTGCTTGGTGGCAGACCCTAGGACAGCAGGGAGCCGTGAGCTTAGGGTGGGGAGTATTCACATGACCTTACTCAAGCATTGACTCATTCAGCAACTACTGTTCTAGGTGTGGGGGACACAGCAGGCTGCAAAGCAGTGTCTCTGTCTTTGCGGGAGTTGTAAGAAAGGCCCTCGTTCATAAGGAGATGTGAGGGAAGCATGAGCGATCCAGGCTTTCAGCCAGAGAGCAAATGCAAAGGCCCTGGGACAGGGACGCTCTTGGCACGTCCAGCGAGCGTCAGCTGTCGGAGTAGCTGCAGCGCAGGTGCTGGGGGAGCTGGTGGTCAGAGAAGAACTGACAAACCCAGATCACAAGGCCTTGTGGGCCAGAAAGGACTTTGGCTTTTGTTCAGAGGGTCGTGGCCGCCATGACAGAGTTTTGGGCAGAGGGACGTGACCTGACTTGTCTCTGGAAAGGGCACCCTGCTGTGGGGAAAGAGACCACTTAGGAGATTACTGTGGTAAGCCAGGCCGCAGGAGCGAGACGACTGGGCCCGAAAGGGAGGCTCTCGGAGGTGTACTACAGGGAGAGCTGGCAGGATTTGCCCATGGACTGAAAAGAGATGACCAAGGCTAACTCAAGGTTTTTAGCACAAACCCTTTTGTTTGTTTGTTCATGAGACAGAGGACTGAGTTTGGGGTGGGAGAATCAGGAATCCATTTGGGGGCACATAGATGAGTCTGGTTCAGGGGAGAGGTCTGACTAGAGATACAAATCTGGAGCCCGAGGCAGATGGGTGGATTTGAATCTTGAGATCAGCCTGGTAGTAGGTGTTCATTGAGGAGAGACGGGGACCCTGGTGCTCTGGGCCAGGAGAGGAGGGGCAGCAAGCCAAGGAGACAGTGGCCCGTGGTGTGGGAGGAGACCCATGTCTCCGAGGCCAAGTGAAGCGCGCGTGTTTCAGGAGGGGAGGCGGGCTCAGTTGTGTCCGGTGTTGCTGAAAGGCCAAGCACAGTGGGGACAGGAGCAACAAAGAGGGCATTGGTACCCCTTACAGAGTGAGGATACAGAAGCCTGTTCAAGAAGGAGCAACAGCAGGGAAACTGGAGACATAGTTTCAATGTGGCTTCCAGAAGTCATCCTCAAGGTTCTCGGGGTGGGGGGGTTAGGAGACACAGCAGGCTTGTGTGGAAAGATCCAGCTGAGAGAGGGAAAGTAGACATCAGTATTGCGGAGGTGACTGGGAGGGAGGGGCGGACCGCGCACCCACAGATGGAGGGGTTGACCTCAGAAGAGCAGGAGGAAGGTCAGGATACAGCATACAGGATAAAGCTGGGCCCGGGTAGTGAGGGGGCACGTGGAAGTCATGTTTCTAATGTGTCACTTTCTTGGTGAAATAAAGGAGGCAAAGTCAAGAGCCGAGGGGAGGAGTGGGTGGAGGCACCCAGTTACTCTTCTCCTCTGGCTCCCAGAGTCCCATGGGGCTGAGCCTCAAGGCTGGCTGTTATGGGTGCAGGCCCACTGCCCACACCCTGTGGGAGGTCAGGCACTAGGGTCTCCTGGGGGTGGAGGGGAGCAGGCGCCTGGTGTGATATGCCTCTTTCTGTCACAGGGCTGTCCAACCCGTTCCGGGGCCTCATGAAGCTGGGCACGGTGGAGCGGCGGGGGGCCATGGGCATCTGGAAGGAGCTCTTCTGCGAGCTCTCCCCACTGGAGTTCCGCCTGTACCTGAGCGACGAGGAGCGCACCTGTGTGGAGAACTGCTCCCTGCTGCGCTGCGAGGCGGTGGGGCCGGCCCACAGCGACGGCCGCTTCGAGCTGGTCTTCTCTGGCAAGAAGCTGATGCTGCGGGCCTCCTCGCAGGATGAAGCCGAGGACTGGCTGGACCGGGTGCGCGAGGCCTTGCAGAAGTGCCGACCTCAGCCGGAGGACGAGTGGGTCAACATCCAGGACCCCGACCAGACGGAGGACCTCCCGGAGGCGCCCCAGGGTGCCCTCCCCTCCCACCCGGACCCTGAAACCTCCCAGGGGACGCCGTTTGATTGGTCATCTGCCCAAGTGCCAGAGCCAGATGCCATCCAAGAATCCCTTCTGTACCTATACTTGGACAGGAGCTGGGTGCCCTACATTTTCTCCCTGTCCTTGGAGTCTCTGAAATGCTTCCGCGTGAGGAACAGGGAGAAGACACTAAGCGACAGCCATGGAGTGGAGACCATCCGAGACATCCTGCCCGACACGAGCCTCGGGGGCCCGGCCTGCTTCAAGATCCTTACAGCCAAGGCCGTCCTGAAGCTGCAGGCCAGGAGTGCTGAGGAGGCCGCCCTGTGGCGGGGCCTGGTGCGCCAGGTTCTGACGGCCTACCTGGAGACGGCCGAGGAGGCGGTGACCCTCGGTGGGGGTCTGGATGAGAGCTGCCAGGAGGGGCTGAAGTTCGCCATGAGGGAGAACGGGTTCCTGCTGCAGTACCTGGTGGCCATCCCCACGGAGAAGGGCCTCGACTCCCAGGGCTGCTTCTGTGCAGGTGTGCATGTCCCCTCCCGCCACCCCGCCCCTCTGCCTCCTGTGGGCTCCAGACTGAGCCCCTACCCCCCTGCTTTGCACCCTGGCATTGCTGCCCCCCACGGCTTTCCCTGCAGCCTGTGCACCTCCCCAGCACCCACTAGGGCAGTCGGCTCGCCCCTCCCCTTGCCTGCAATGGGCAACGCCTGTGGGTGGCAGCTCTAGCTGCCTGCTCCAGGGTTCCTGGAGCTAAGCTCTCCACCCCCGAACTGTCTTGTTACCTCAATACAGGCTCAGGGTCAGAGCCGTGGAACCCTTCCCAAACCGCCCATGCTTCAAGAAGTGTACACAGCATTGTAACGACAAAAATGGGCTCGTGCCCTCCACTCTGGAATTCTCTGTGATGACGAAAATGTTTTTCTCTCTGGTGTCCAGTGTGCCAGCCATCGGTCACATGTGGCTGCTGAGCAGTCAAAAGATGACCAGTGTGACCAAGAAACTGAACATTACATTGTATATAAAATTGAATAGGGAGGGGTGGCTGGTGTCAGTGTTGGACAGCTCCCACCTCTGCCACCAGGTCAATTCCAACTCAAAATGACCCTATCGAGTGTTTCGGAGACTAAACCTTTATAAGATAGCCTCGTCATTCTCCCAAGGAGCGGCTACTGAGCTTGAACCTCCAACTTTGCAGTTAGCAGCCTAATAGCTACCTCTTAGTGCCCCTTCGGATGCCTTATTAGACAGCACAGCTCCAGCTACATAGATGGTTCTCTCTGTTGGCCTCTTCTACTTTTGCATTATGGATATTATTCCAAATCAGTACAACTGCTATATCACTGTGGTCCCAAATCTAATACTTCTGGGCTGTGCCTGGGGCCAGCTGCTCTGGACTATGTCACTTAATCCTCACAATAGCCCTTGGGCCAGGTGCTACTGTCATGTTCATTTACACTTGAGGAAACCGAGTCCCAGTGCTGCAGAGTCACTCGGTAAGAAGTGGTAGAGCCAGCATTAGGACCTATGTTCTTAGCCACCCTGCACAGGTCTCTGCCCCTATTTTTCAGGACTGCCTGGTACTCCTGTTCACACCTGATTTTAGCTCCTCCCACACCTCCCAGTCCCTACACCCTGATCCTCCAGGTGAACAGGCCCAGAGGTTGTCTGCCACAGAATGCCTGCTTAAGGGAGCTGTGGCTGTGAGCAGCCCCAAGGGGGTGGAGCCTATGGCCCAGGAGAGGCGGGCACTTCTTTGTAGGGGAAGGAGTGGTCTGTGGGTGGCTCCCATGGGTGAGAGAAGCCAGGCCACAGAGCTTCCTGCAGAAAATAATGCTACCTTGCATTGCTTGCCCGCCCTCAGCAACTCACGTTTCAGCCTGTGGGGGTCTGATTTATGGAGGGGACTGAGTGAAGGGGCACTCTCGCTAGCCCCTGCAAGCAGAAAAATGACCAGGCAAACAGTGACCATGGACGCTTGGATTATATGTCCTTATTGGCAGGGCACGTTCAAAACCTGTGTCATCTAAAGTGGGTAATCAAACCAATACTCAGCCCAACTCACTGCCACCAAGTTGGTTCCAGCTCCTAGCAACCCTATAGGACAGAGCCGACTGCCCCTTAGGGTTTCTGAGGCTGTAAATCTTGATGGGGCAGAAAACTGCTATTTCTCCTCAGGTCCACTGGTGAGTTTGAACTGCCAGCCTTATCGTTAGCAGCTCAGTCTGTAACCCACCGGGCCTCCAGGCCTACAAGCCAGGGGGCTTTCTCTAGCTGGTGGGAACAGGGAATGTGTCCAAGACAAACTGGGATTTGGTCGTTGCCCTGGGCACCCCAACTGCTCTGACCACTGCCCCTTGCCCCAGAGGGGCTGAACAGCTGAGCCCTACACCCGGCCCTGAGTGCCCAACTGCCCCGTCCCTGTTGGCCACGTGTTCTGTGACTGCTCCATCTCCCCAGCTGGAGGGACCTGGGTCCTGAGGCCTGCCTTAGTGGCCCCCATTCTGGGCCCTAGAGGACCTGGAAGAGATGGAAATTGGTGAGCAAACCATGGAGGTGGTGCCGAGGCAGCTGGTGTCATGGTGAGAATGACCGTGACATTGGAACCAGTCAAATCCAAATTGAATCTCAGCGGGCCTCTTAATCATCATGTGACTCTGGGCAGGTGTGTTAACCTCACGGAGCATATGTTACTTCAGTTGTAAGGTGGCGACAGCACTCAACAGCGTTTTGTGGTGGAGCTTAATAGAGGTTATTGTAAGTGGTGCTGTCAGGTAAGTGTGGACTACTCTTTGAAAGGTCAGCGGTTCAAACCCACCAGCTATTTCCACAGGAGAACGGTGGCTGCTCACATAAAGATTTACAGCCTCTGCAGCGCTATGTAGGGCCGCTATGAGTCGGGATGAGAAGAGGGGTTTGGTTTGGGCTCAGCAAGCCCTTCCCACCGGGGTGCACCTGTGAGTGTCAGGAACTGCCTCTGGCTGTGTCACTCACTCCACCGCCATCTCCCCAGGGTGCTCCCGGCAGATCGGCTTCTCATTTGTGCGACCCAAACTCTGTGCCTTCTCTGGTCTCTATTACTGTGACGCCTGCCACCAAGATGACGTCTCGGTGATTCCGGCCAGGATCATCCACAACTGGGACCTCACTAAGCGCCCGGTAAGTCTTGAGACCAGCCTCGTGGCCACACAGGCTGCTGAGGGACAGAGGAACACTCACCCCTCATCACTGCTGCTGCTGCTCAGGTCTGGGGGGATTTAGGTAAAGGAAAGCCAGTGTCACAAGTACAGCCCTGTGCTGTGGGGCACCTGAGCAAGAGGAAACCTTGGTGTCAGTCCCAGCCCCTGAGAGAGCTCTGTCAGTGCCAGCCTTGGTGCCCACTGGGGGTCTGAGGATGGCTCTCTGCAGCTGCATGGAAACAGATTGGTTTAAGGAACCTGCCGGTAGGTCAGAAGATAATCAGTGAGTTAATTAATTGTGCCAACCTGGCCGATAATCACATGTGGGGCTAATTAAAAAGCGGAGGGATAAATGGGTGGTGAGCCTCGCCTTTCTAGTTCTCGGGTCTCTTGCTTTGTGATGGTCGCACCAGGGTGCAGCTGCCTTAGCAGTTCCCTGCTTCAGCTTGCAAGATTGACTTCCTACAAGACATCCCCAAGGAGAAGCCACATGGACCTATCCCGATGCAGCCCTGGGTGCTGGAGCAGCCGTGTGGAGACCCCTGCTAGTGCTGAGATGCTTGTTCGTTCACTGACTCAGCTTTCCTCCTGCAGTCGGCATCATTGCCTCTGTTTTGTGAGGCAGAGGACTTTGTGGACTGGTGTTGGGTTAATGGGTTAATGTTGGACTTGTGGGCTTGGGCAGCATTGAGTTGGGATGTTTTCGTGATGCACATTTTCTTTACATAAAACTCTCTTATACATGAGTTGCTGTGGATTTGTTTCTCTAAAGTTCCTAGACTAATACAGGCAGCTAGATGGACAAGAAGAATGGATGATGGACGGACGGACAAACGGGCCATGAAGAGGTCAGCCTTTGCAGAGAAGTCGCCAGTTTCCGCACTTGCTTATTTGTAATGAATTTAAAACCATGTTTGTGAAAGGTCATGTAAATAATATCTGGGTATAATCTATCTTTTAAAGATTATAGAAAAGCCATGTGTCATCACCAGAGATGATAACTTGACATGCAGGAGGTGGCTTTTCTGCGCATTTATTTACCTGTGCACATAGATGAAGAGATTGGCATTTCATAACACTGGGAGGATAGTCAACCCATACTACTATTTACTGTGGTCTTCTCATTTAAGATAACATCTTGGACACTTCCTGGGGTTCACCACATATCTTTGGAAAAGGTATATTAGGGTCATAACAAACTATGGACAACATCATGGAAAATGGGACTTCCGGAGCACTTCATTGTACTGGTGTGGAATCTGTATGTAGACCAAGAGGCAGTCGTGGAACAAACAAGGTCACACCACATGGCTTCAGATCAGGTGTGTGCCAGGGTTGTCTCCCTGCACCATACTTCGTCCATCTGTGTGCTGGAGGGTATGAAAGAGAAGCCGTTATCCAGGTTGGGGCGGCTCATCAACAAGTTCGATATGCCAGTGGCACAACCGTGCTTGCCGAAAGCCGAGAGGACTTGGAAGTATTTACTGATGAAGATCAAAGCATAGATTGCAACTCAATGTGAAGAAAACAAAATTTCTCACAATCGGACCAGTTGACAACATTGTAATATACAGAAAAGATTGAAGTTGTTAAGGTTTTCATTTTACTTGGATCTATAATCAACGTTCATGAAAGCAGCAGATAAATCAAATGACACCTTGCACTGGCACGAGAACTATTAAAAGTGTTAAAGAGCAAAGAAGGCACTTTGAGGACTAAGGTGCACCTGACCCAAGCTCTGATATTTCTAATCACTTCATATGCATGGGAAAGAGGGGGATAATTAGTAAGACTTGGAAAGAGTTGATGTATCTGAATCATGGTATTGGCGAAGAATATCGAAAGTACCATGGACTGCCAGAAGGACAGACAGAATGTTCCTGAAAAGCAAGGATTGTGAGACTTTGCTTTCAAGCTACGTCTGAGACGAGGTAGTGTCTCTTTCTGTACGAGGGTCGCTATGAGTTGATACAACAACTGGGTCTCCCAGATTGTTGTCTTCTCTGGCTGAGCTTAGCCATTTCACCATGAGGACATGTGACTGCAGGGCCCTCATCTAGGAGCCTCGGCACAGCAGGTAAGCACTAGGCTGCCAGCCAAACCCACCGCCACTCCTCAGGAGGAAGACGCGGGCAGTCTGCTCAGACCAAGATTCACAGCCTTAGACACCTAGGGGGAAGCTCTGCTCGGCCCCCCGGGGCCGCTGGGAATTGGAATGGACTTAATAGTAGTAGTTTGGGTTTGGGGGCTTCAGCAGCATGCCTGTGTGTTGTGAGGAGCAACCCAGAGGCATGACAGTTATGTCAGCCTGTGCCTATGCTTAGGAAAGTGCCTTAGAACAGTGCCCCGCACCTTCCCCGAGGCCCG